TCTCTCACAGTCTCTTTCCCAACAGCGAGTGTCCCTCAGTGTCTCACTCAGCAATGCATGTCTCTTGCATCTCTTTCCCAGCAGTGCGTGCCTCTTTCAGGAGTGCGTGTCTCTTTCAGCAGCACGTCTTCCTCAACCAGCAGTCAGAGAGAGACTTCTGCCTCTAGGAGGCCTCCTTTTGAGCCCGGCAGAGTGGCCAAACTAACCAGTCATAACATCAGAATTCTAAGCACCTGAGAGAGAGCAGGAACCTCCCAGAACATTGCTCTGTGTTGTGCCCAACAGAAATACCCCAGGTGGATAACTTTTACAATCAGGAGCTCCTCAGTTGTTCAAAGCAAATTCCACCTTGGAGTTTACAAAGACTTATGGGTAGAAAAGCCATACTAAGTAATTTACTACACCACAATTCTTTACTAACTGTGGTAATTCAGTTTGTGTGTCAACTTGGCTGGGCCTGGTTGAGTGGCTGGGCAGCTGGATGTAGTATTCAACATGATGAGACTGGTAATCAACTCCAAGGTGGAATCTACTGTGAGCAGCTGAGTAGCTGCCTTAGGGAAGGTGATCTACTTCCTGTATGTAAGCAAAAGCCTTCAGGAATGGACTCTATTATGGCACGCTTGGACCCTGCATGTAGCCATGTTGTTTTCCAGTAGCCTGCCATGCTCTGAGATCCTGGGGCTGTCAATGGACTTGAATCAGTGGCCTGCTGTGTGGTTTGGTAACATGAGGACTGCACCATTTTATTTATCGACCTTGGGCTTTTAGCCTCAGCTGCCAGTAGCTGCCTGAGTGAAGACATGCCTCTAGCTCAAGTGAACCGGAAGCAGGAGTCAGAGCTGAAGCCCAGGGTTCAGGGACTTTCACCAGCCCCTAGAACCTGGCACTTTGTACTCGGACTTAAAGCCTCCAAACTGTGAGAGAAGAAACTCCTGTTTGGTAAGGCCATCCCGTTAGTGGTATATTCTTGTCAGAGCGGCACTAGTTAACCAGAACACTAACAAAAGACATTTATGGGTATAATGTATTGTCTGATACAGCTTTTGCTAAGTTTGGTAGGTTTTAGTGTGAGATTTTCAGCTGTCTTTCTGGAGAGAGCTTTCATTCTTGGGACCAAGCAATATCTAAATATGTGTTAATTAATTTCCAAGTGCTTAAGATTTTTCAGTCACCTTTCCAAGTTTGGTTCTAATTTTATAGCCTTATTAACAGAGGAAGTGTCTTGTAAAATCTCTACTTGAAAATTTTTGTTAAGGTATTATTTGAGAACAAATCGTTTTTAAAATGTTTCATGCATATTAAAAAAGGCTGTTTTGCATTTAATGTGTGAGATTTTTTATTGTATCTATTAAATCAAATTTTTATCACATTGTCATTTCCTTTCTATCCTTACTTATTTTTTATTAGCCACATTTCTTTAAAAACCTTTCTTCTCTTCCAACCTGTAATTGTCATAACAATATAGTTTCATCTTCCACTTATGTCTCTTACATAGCATTCCAAATCACCTCCTTTTCAAATACTCTTGCCTTATAGCCTAGAAATAAAGCAAAGAAAAAATTACAGAGTGACATCAGAACAAGGGGTCTGTTTGAGACCTTCTTATACTGGTTTCTTTACTCAGGATTAGTTTCTCTTCCTTCTCCAAACTTCCTTATTTCCCTCTTCTGCTCAATAATGTACCATATAGAGAACTTGTATGTAGACAAATAGATATCCCAACACAATTGTGTATTCCCTAACATACACAATTCCCTTTAAAAGAACAGTATCTTTCTTTAGATTATAGCATTGAACTATCTTAAGACAGATTTTGGTAATTATTTTCTTATTTTGTGATCATGTTTTTCTTACTGGTAATAAAAATGTAACTGTATAATAGGATAAAATTTGAAAAAAATAATAATCACAAAACCAAACCAAACAATATGAGATACATTCATATCAAGTCACAGATTTGAAACTTTCTGATCATATTTAAAAACTCTTATGAAACTAGAATTTTCTTCCCTGGTGAATAATTTGCTAAGCTTCAACATTATTACTTGATGATTCCATACTTTTCATAAAGATTTGTCATGAACTCTTGTTGATTCTAACTTTCACTGACCTACAAAGCCACAATAATTTGAGCACCAAGAAGTTATGTTCTTGAGACGACTTCTATTTAGTCTAAAGTGAGAAAAAAATAACCTGATTGTAATGAGGTATGACAACTATATTTGAGCCATCTACAAATAAGAATATGTCATTGCAACAGTAATGGGATAAACCACCCAATTAATTTGTAGCAAACAGGACAGATTGCTCTGGAAGTTTTCCAGGAGTGAAAAGCAAATCTGGTGCTTTGCTTCAAAGGCAAAGCATACCAAACTCTATAATCCCCATGCACAGAGAAAATTTTTATTTTTCATTCTTAGGTATTATATGCAAGAATCTAATCCACAATAGAGGGATAACTTCAAGATAAAGAAACTAAGAGGTTCATGTTAAAATTATGAGTCTAGTAACTGATAATGATCATCAGGTTTTTTGAGAATGCTCTCTTGGTGTTTCTTCCACCTATGAATGCTAGTGTAATATAACCCCAAGATCTACAAAACGTGTTCATTTATAACTCATTTGATCCATACAACAATCCCCAGGGTACTGCTCTCCTCCATATTACAATGAGGAAACTGAAGTCCAGGAATATTAAGCAATATACTTCTGCCAGAGCAAGTCACCTTCTCACCATACATTGCTGCCTGCACTACAATAGTATATGCCACTCTGTTCCAAACATTAACTTATTAACTGATATACTTGCCTTTCCATGTTCTGGAATAGAAACAATAGAGGGTATAGTTATGGTAAAAAATTTAATCTTTGTCTGTGTTTATTTCTTTCACTGCCTGACCTTCTATTAGGAGAAAATGGAGCCCATGGATTTTGTGTTAAAAGATCAGTTGAAGTATTAGATATAGCAAGCAAATACTTCCTCATCATTAGGATAGGGGAGGTTGTTGAAAAGTCTGAGAATTATCTACTTATAGAGCTCTGTGGTGAACCCATTTACAATTATGGAGAGAAACTGACTTTCCTTGTTTTATGTGACAAAAACACAATGTCCTATTTGGGTTGAGGTAAAATGAAGTAATCTGATGCCTTATTAGATTTCTGCAGTGCTTCTTGGTTCCTGCTACAGCACTTTTCAATTCTAATTCCTTATTATGTTCTCTAAACCCACATAAATAAAGAAAACATGACAAAACAACTATTACAAAAAAAACACAAAACTCCCTCAAAGCCTGTCATACTCTGTGGTTTATTTACCTCTCTTCTACACGATATGTGAAAATCACGAATTTCAACTGACAAGGAAAGATGAATTGATTTTGTTTGCTAGTTTCTAGAAGAGGAGTTGGGATGTCAGTAGAAAAGTGCATCTCTCCATCACCAATGCAGGCTAATCAAGGAAAAATGTCTATGAGTAGCATATACATTAATCTCCAGCTGGATCACAGAGCTGTTAGGGAATATAACTAATTGTATCATTGTGACCTATCTTGGTCTGTAATAACATGTTCCAGTGACATCAGTGACTGTATGAGATGGATGCTGCATGTAAAGGAAAAACTGCTGTTCAGCTAGAGTATTTGAAAGCTGGTGCATGGCACAGTGACAGGTTGGAGTGAATGGAGCTCTTTTTTTCCACAATAACATGTTTGCCATAATCTGTCATTGCTGTGTTTCTCAAACTGTCTCAAGCAGTCATCGAGGGCCATTTCAGACAAGCAGGTTGCCATAACAACCTAGTTCTTTAAAATGATTTCTGTCAAGAAGCCCTGAAGTTGTCTACTCAGGTCACTTTTGTGCCTCATCCAGATGCCAAGGGAAAAAGAATCTGCATACTTGTAAAGCATTTCTGTAGCAATATAATTCAGTTCCTTCACAAATATTTGAGATTTTCCAGAATAAGTTCTCCCAACATTTCACCTATAGAAAGGGAGGTACATTATGATCTCTTCCAGAAGATGTCCATAAATTCTGATTTGCCAATCAGTTATTCACTATCAGATAACTGACAGAGTGCAAAAAATCATTGGACTTGACTAGTTACCAGAACTAGACCTCATGTAGCCATTAACTCAATTATTTCTAGGGCTGAAATAGCTTTGGGCTTCAAAAGAGAGAGGTCAACTCTTTAAGATCATTTTCTAATCTAAAATTGTAAGACTTTTTTTTTTTTTTTTAATCTATATATTCTGAAGGAGCTCTGGTGGTGTGATGCCTAAGTCATCTGACTGCTAACAAGAAGGTTGGCATTTCAAACCCACCAGCTGCTCACGGAAGGAAGATGGGCAATCTACTTCTATAACGATTTACCTCAGAAACCCAAAAGGGGTCAATATGAGTTAGATTCAACTTTGTTTTGTTTTGTTTCAAATATATTCTAAGCTTTTTTTGTGTTTCTTCCCTACTAAACTGCAAAAGTTTTAAGAGGCAAAGACTACAGTTACAATTTGTTAAAATTTATAATTCAAAAAGTATACAAAATATTTTTTAAAAATGCATTTTAGAAGAAAAGAGTTACATGTATGTATCATGTAATTGAAATGGAATATTTATTGCCATTGAATACCAGAATTGACTCAGAATTTTCTGGCAGCAGAAAGAAAGGGAAAATAAGGAATTATATTCTCTTTGTCTAATTAATCTGAAAATGAATTATAGCTTTTTTTGTTGTTCTTGTTTAGTGAAATAAACATTTCCTGGAAAAAAAGTACTAGGATATTAATAAATACCCAGGTGTTAATTGGAATATTTTCAAAAAAGAAACTGAAAAGTTCTAGAGAAATATAATTTGGTGAAAGAAAAGGCATCCTGTGTAAGCAATTAGTATGTTTAGCAATACAAAGAGCATTCATGAACTTGACTGTGCTGTGCATTCCTTTTCTCAGATGCACAGAGTATGTGTCATACTTTTAACCAATGTCTCTACTTTTACTTTTCAGAATGACAAATCCCCAGGGCGATCTGCCAGTCGATCAAGTAACATTTCAAAAGTAAGTGAAATATTTTCATTTTCTTAATCGTTTATTGATTTCTATATTTAATGAGTTCAAATATATACCTTGTAATGTTTAACCTACAATTATTTTCTGTGGACAATACACATGTGACTCATTAATGGTTTAACTATTTCAGGCTTTGGCTCTGTTAAGAAGACATGATTTTACACAATAAAATTATTGTTTTTTTTTTTTTTCCTCTTCAGTGCTGTTCCCCAAGAAATAATTTGCCACTTTCAGAGTGAAATACTGAGTATGTTTTTCCTCTCATTTCAAACATCACACAGTCAGAACATACACAAATTGAAACTATATCAGCATTCATGGTACAATTCCCATGAATTCAGTTTTTCAGGTACTGAACTCAATTCTGCTGGAATTTAACTATTCTTGTCACCAGGATAGATTTTCAGAAATCTATATAATGAAGATATTAATTTGATCACAATGTAGGTTATAAAGTCAGTGGACTAAAAATCAAAATATTCCCCAGATTGTCTATAAATCCAAGCAACCCACTGGAGCTATAAAAAGATTATAGTTTGGGAGTGATACTCTATACTTCTATTTGCCTAGAAAACAAAAATCATGTCATTACAAAATTCAAGACCTGTTATTTAAAAAATGAGGCAATGCTTGTGGTAAATTGTGGTCAATGACATGAGACAAAGTATATGTGAACTGCTGTATCGAGAGTGATTTTGCTCTGTAAATCTTCACCCAAATCTAAGTAAAATAAAATTAAAAAAAAAAAAATGAGGCAATGCTTGATATATAGACATGAGGTTTGGGGAGCAAATGTTAATTTTGAGCCATTTGTCAAAATGGAAAATTATAACTTTCAAAAATATAATTATGATCAAGATGGATTTAGCATAAATGGAATTTTTATTTCAAGGCTTCTCCTTGCTGAGACATCTCCAGGACCCTGGACTTAATTTTGTATTAGTAATTTTATATTCTTTTCATTTAAGAGATTCCCTCAAAAGTAATACACTTTAATCACTATACTAGCTGCCTATACTTCCAATTAAGTTCTAAAGGACTTTCTTACTCATGGCAAAATGGCAGTAGCCAGAATATAACATTTTCTGATGATTGTTTACTTAGCCCAGTTCCTCTGAGACAATGCTAGTAGAGCAAGTTGAGGCTTTCACACATATTAGGTTAGATTGCAGGAGAGAAATCCTGGACTTAAAGAACCTCTTTATTTTATTTTTATTATTATTATTATTGTTATTATTTTAATGGACAGTAAACATGTCCACCCATTGCTCCAGAGAGAGACTATATCCAGAGAGAGACTATATCTTCCAAGGCTGTCCACTATCCAGACATCCTTGAAAAGACATGCAGCCACAAGAGATACCCATTAAGTATTTTGTCTCAATACTTGATGCTCACCACTTCTAATTATATTCCAACCTGGGTACTTTCAGGGATATTTGAGAGGCAATGTGCCCTACTGCTTAACAATACTCATGCTGGAGAGAGTGAATCTGAGTTTAAGTCACTTCTCTGTCTCTACATACTACTGTGACCTTGAGATGTTCTTTAAACCTCACTCACACATAATTGCCTCCTCTGTGACATGAGGATAATGATAGTATCAGCCACCTTATGGGAATTTTGTTAAATAATTGAAATTAAAGCAACAACGTTCTAATGTCTATCATCCTAGTCACATCATGAAGAGCCATGCTCACAGCCGGAGAACAATGCCATCATTCTGAACTTGAATGTTAATGTTGAATAATAGCAATCTGGAAACTTAAAACAGTGCTGCCAACTCTTTTGTTGCCCTAAAGAATGTCTTCATGATCAAGGGGTGAATTATTTCTTCATTGTTGAGCTGCTATTTGAGTTTGACATCATAATGCAGCTCCTTTGTAGGCTATTGCCTTTTAATTTATCCTTTAAGAATTACGAAAATCACAGGAGTACAGTTTTCTTTCTGTGAGTTCTCCTTCCAGCTTCTGACATGTACTAATTGTACCCCTGCATGAGAGATAGTTGATTATAGAAATACTTTCTATTCAGAAAAAAAAAAGGAAAGCTCTTTTCTTAAATTGTCACTTTTATTGTATAATAGCAAAATCAAAACTAGATGGATAAACAGTTTCCAATAAGCATAAGTACATTTTATTTAAGCCAATATAATTTTCCTTTTATTTATTTTCAGAATGATAATCACAAATACTAAATACTTTGTTGAGTCCTCACTACTTTTTCAAGAATTTGTGATAAAATCTTCATTAAGATCATATAACCTATCAAGTATGAAATGACAATATTTAGCAATATTTGATTTCTTTAACTTCTAAAGAGTTGAAGAAGAAAAAAAAATTAAAAGTAGAACAGGAATATTTTTTCTTTTATTTTGCCAAAATAAAAATGATTATGTCAATAGAAGACTGTGAGCTTTTCAGTATAACAGAGTGATTAAGAGCATGGATATTGGAATAACTACTTAGACAAATTACTGAATTTCCTTAGCATCTTTCTCTGTTAATGGCTTGTATTAACAGTACCTGCCTGTTGGGATTGTGCTTAAAACATGTCTGGTACTATATAAGTATTAGCTATTCTTACTGCGAATGTATGGCTTACAAAATAAATGTTCAGTAAAACTTTTTGGAAATAAGTGAATTTGAGTTATGTCCCATAATATACATATCTTTACTGAGTGGAATAAGAATAAATAATAGAGCTGACAGGATGAAGATGGATGTGAATAATCTGTGGTAATTTCATTGAAAAAAAAATATATTTATTGCATATTCCTGTTTCCTTAAAAATGCATTTCTATTTAGTAATAACACATTATCTTAATTCAATAGAAAATCATAGTGGGTTTCTTCCTTAACTTTTATCTGGTCTGTGCTGTCCTCTATCCCTTGATACAGAAAATCACAGATAGTACAGAAGGCTTCATCCAGGGTAGGGTGGAAGAACAGTCCTCCATCTGTTGAGTCTGGTTTCCTGCCTACTTCTTACATCCCCTTACTCAATCAGTATTTGTGGAAAGTCTCTGTTACCAGGAATCTTGTTCTATAGGGCATGATAGCATAATGGATAAAAGTCCCTACCCAGTTTCCAGCAAGGTTACACTCAGGGAGTTGAGACTATTTACAGCAAAATGTGAGAGCCAGAACTTGATGGGACTTCCTTATTTTTCTGGGTATCATGAGTTTTCTGCCTTTGACAAGGAACAGTCTTACCACTTTTCTATTCCTCTCTATTATTGGAAAACATTTGAGTTTTCCTTCTTTAGCAGGTTTCTGCCTTACACATGTTCTGGCTTGCTCAGGTTTTACTCTACAGGTAGTCCCTGACTTGTGACATGTTCAAGTTCCATTGAACTACACTTATGACCATTTTTGTTTTTGTTTTTGGTACATATTAACATTAGTCATATGTACTACATACAATGTTTCAGTGTGTAATTTGCCGATGTTATCGTTCTCACAT